ATTTACTATATCTGGGTTCTAGTCACTCCATGGTGAGTGAAGAGCAGCCCAATTCAAGAAAACTGAGAAAGCAAAGCTATATTGGTTTATTGGGGACTGAATTTCAATTATATTTATTTATTAATTTATAGTTAGACACATCTTGAGCAAAGTGGTGGGAGCTATGTTAAACTAGTTCTCTGTAAATAATGGCTTCTATAAAGTTTTCCACAGTGGCTGGTGACCAGGAGGGGGAATGTCTGTTCGTGCTAAGTCATTTCAGTCATGTCCTACTCTGTGAGACCCTATGGGCTATAGCCCACCAGGCAACTCTGTCCACAGGATTCTCCTGGCAAGAATACTGGAGTGGGTTGCCGTGCCTACTTCCAGATCTTCCAGACCTAGGGATTGAAACTGTGTCTCTTATGTCTTACACTGGCAGGTAGGATCTTTACCACTAGCACCACCTGCGAAGCCCCCCGGGGGTGGGGTACGTGTATATATAAATGATATGAATGAAAGAATTAACCTCTCCCTCAAACAATGCCCCCTGCAACCCGCATCTCATGGTTCCCACCTTTGTTACTTTAGAGTAATCTTGATTTAAGTCAGTTTTAAATCTTGGCCAATTTTAAATGTTGGTAAATGAAACAGGGACTTCTCTGATAGCTCAGTTGGTAAAGAATCCACCTGCAATGCAGGAGACCCCGGTTCAATCCCTGGGTCAGGAAGATCTGCTGGAGAAGGGATAGGCTACCCACTCAAGTATTCTTGAGCTTTCCTTGTGACTCAGCTGGTAAAGAATCTGCCCGCAATGCAGGAGACCTGGGTTCAATCCCTGGATTGGGAAGATCCCCTGGAGAAGAGAAAGGCTACCCACTCCAACATTCTGGCCTGGAGAATTCCATGGACTATATAGTCTATGGGGTTGCAAAGAGTCGGACATGACTGAGAGATTTTCACTTTCAAATGAAACAGACATATGAATAGCTGGCTTAATACTTAACCCCAAAGCAATATATTCCTTAAAAGTTAGAATAATAACAGTTGCCTATATACACAATGTATACCTACAGGAGGTTGGCCTTTAGCAGGGGGTGCCATGCTGCGTGACCTGGGGAGTGAGGGTGTGGAGTCCTAACCACTGGACCACCAGGCAACTCCCCTGACCTTTAAGCTTAATCTGTATGTTGAACTTTTTCTGTAGTTTCTACATGAGTGTTGGATTATTAGCTACTCACGAATTGAATAAAATTATTAACTTTTCTAGTTTTCTACTTAATAATCAACAAATGCAGGAGAGTAGGAGTTGGGCTCTTAGATGACTTAGGAATCTTGATGTAAGTAATTGCTTCAGAAAAAATAGACTTTATTTAAGGAAAATAAGTCATAAGTGGTAGTTTCAGGGGAGAAGAGGTGCTAGTGTTATGTGCAATTGTCTGAAGGTTTTGTATGGAGAAAATGATCTGTTGGTTAGAATGTTGGTTTTAAATTCCATTTTAAACACCCTAGTAATGATTGTGCTTTCAAGGGGCTATAGTTAATGTTAACACTTGTGAACTGTGTACGCATAAGATGCCCAGCTATGACTAACTTTTATTGGCAAATCTTGCGTGACCTGTCTTTCTGGAGAAGTAAGCATGAGACAGGCATACAAGTTCAGCCTGCTGTAATGGCAACATGTATTTGTTTCTGAGAAATCTCAAACTGTTTTTATGAACTCTCTCAGGGAAACTACTACCACCAACTGCTCCCATGGGAGGAGATTTGCAGGGACACCTGCGTCCTGCCGTTTGGAGGAGAAAGGGCTGCTGGTGAGAAAACGAGATAGCGAGGTAACTGACAGCCTTGGACTCTAGTGAAAACTAGAGACCAGCTGCCTGCCTCTCCATGGCTGCCACTGATGCCAGTAATTCTGAAGGTGTCTCCAAAACTCTGGAAAAGAAAACCTTGGTGACTTGACTTGGAGCCTTGAGTGAGAAGCACAGTAAGGCTGTGCTAGGCATATAATGGGCATTTGCTAAATACGTGCTAAAAGAGTGAAGGAGTGAATAAGATCTGAATACTGTTTTGAAGCATCAAGTAGCATGTCCAATAGGTTGGAACATCCCATTGCTGGGGATAATACATAACATAACCACTCTTCTTTACAAAAATAGCAAAGAGCAAATGCACACTACTATGTACAAAATAGATAGCCAACTAGAACCTACTATATAGCACAGGGAACTAAATTCAGTATAATAACCTACAATGGAAAAGAATCAATGAATTACTTTGCTGTACACCCAAAACTAACACAACATTGTCAATCAACTTGTAAATAAAATTTTTATTACATTTCAATAACATTTTTTCAAAACTGATGAAGAAATCAAAAAATAAAATTAATGAAGCATGTAAAAAAATAACAAAGAGTAATTCCCCAGTCTGCGAGTAAAATGGAAAGGATTCTTTGCTCAGTCTTAAAACCAAAGGAACTTAATGTGTGTGTTTGTCTGAAGCTCTAACACTTGGACCACCTGATGTGAAGAGCTGACTCACTGGAAAAGATCTTGACGCTGGGAAAGGTTGAAGGCAAGAGGAGAAGGGGACAACAGAGGATGAGATAGTTAGATGGCATCACCAACTTAATAGACATGAGTTTGAGCAAGCTCCGGGAGACAGTGAAGGACAGGGAAGCCTGGTGTGCTGCAGTCCATGGGGTCACAAGGAGTTGGACATGACTGAGCAACTGCACATCAACAACTTAATGTGTGTTTGTGTGAATCTACAAAGGAGTCCATTATTCTTAATACCTCCTTATCACGGTGCTGTTTCAGGCAGAACAGAAAGTACTAGAACATGTACATTTCTTAAGTAAGATTTTGCAATTAAAAAATAAGAATCTGAGCATTTCACAGCCTGAAAAATAAACACAAAGCAAACGATTGCTAGTCTAATCAGACACTGGCAGGGTCTTACTTTGCATGTGGGTTGCTGGCTTGAAATCTTTGACCTTGCAACCTCTTCTGAAAACTCAAAGACGAAGTGAGATGTGAAAAGCTTCAAGATTTTCCCAGGAACTGAATAAATATAATCTCACAGAATGAAAAGTTTTGATAGTATTTGTACTACCTAATGATACATTTTCATATGTGCTGACATTAATCATTCTCAAATAGGTTTTAACAGCATTTTCCCTTCTTAATATCCTAGGTGAGGTCTAAATGCACTTTTCACGCACATCCCCGAGAAGAAGAGAGAGCATGTTTGAAGCTTCCCACAGAAGGGGAGTAACCTGTTGGGGAGTGGTTCCAAAAGAAGGAATCTGCTCTTCCAACTACCAGCTGTGAAACTTTGAGGGCCTGATTTAACCTTTCTGGGCCTACTTTCTCTCACAATATTGGTAACCTGAGAACTATAGGATCTACCCTGTAGTACTTCTCCAAGGATGAAATGTGATTGCACACTCACAGTACCCTCACAATGCCTGGTACATAGTAAGTACTCAAATGTTTCCTCAATAATTCAAAATTTAAGTCAAAATGGGTGAAATGCTTAAAAATTCGGAAAACCAACCATTTTGGAAATAGACTGCTTCTTAAATGACAGATTCCAGAGAAAGTGGCCGCTATGTACTCCTTTCAGATAAAATGATAAATTCAGAAAAATCGTATGTTGGATAACTAACCTATGGTTCCCGGGGCCATTTTACTACATGTAATTAATTAGGCACAGACATCCTGGTGCCCAACTGCTGTTTACATCAATTCTCCTACCACTGAGTCCCAAATCTGGATATGTATCTAGTATTATGGGCAATTTTCCACAAGTTTCTTCATTTGTAATGAGATTCTGTGAAAACCGAGGCACCTAGTTGCCGGTTAAAACTGGGCTAATTTTTTTTTTTTCAGCCCCACTGCATTCATGCTTACTTCCCGGGTGATTCCGTTAACATTTTCATTTAGTTCAAATATATACCGACTGCCTGCTATATTCAGACAAGCCTTCTTTTCAGGAGTAGGAGGGGACAGAATGCAAGGCCCTGAGGCTGTTATTATGGAAAGCCTTTATCTATGGAGAAACACTGACGGCAAATGATCCTGTTTCAGCCGTCCGCAAGCGAGAGGTGGCCTGGACCCCAGCATCATGCTCTTAAGGACAGGCACATTTCCAGTAACAGTCTCACTTCCCCAATTTCCCCGGGGAAGGAGGGAGCGGTGTTGCCGATGGCATCGCCTGATATCACTTGTTCTGGGTGATAGGAGAGCGTGGGGCCGCCTGGCCCACCTCATCCGTGGTCTGATTGCATTAACCTCTTGGTTCCCTGCTCCTGCCACGTGAGGTGCCCTAATATGGTCAGACTCCGGCGGAGCCCAGGAGCGCTTGCCTTTCTCCGGCTCCCGGCGAGAAGGCAGGAACACACGTTTAGAGGCAAGCACTCCGAAGGAAGGAAAACGGGGATCTAGGTTCGCATCTGGGCGAGCTGAGAGTGGGCTGCAGCAGAAGCCTTGCCTCAGGTCATCCATCATTTAATACCGCCCTCCCCCCGCCCCCCCCCAGCGACCCCGATCTCCCCCAGGGGGGGCTCCCTTTTCTCGTTCTCCCCTCACTTTCGGGGAGGCACCCATGGGTGGACCCCTAGCTCCTGTCCTGATACAGGAATGTGAGGCGCCCTGGGGGTCGAGGTGGGCGGCTCGCCAAGGCTCCGGCTGCTCGTCGGGTCCTAGCAGCCTGGGGGGAGATGCTGCTGCAAGGCGTGTCTGGGGCTGCGCTCATGTGATGAAGCGAGGGAAAAACAAGGGGGAGGAGGAGGAGGCAAAGAGGTGGCTTTTTTTTTTTTTTTTTTTTCTTTTAAGGAGTTTGCCGCGAGCGCGTCTCCTTCATTCGCAGTCTGGGCGGGTTCGGAGGAGCACGGCGGGAGACTGAGGCGCTCTTGGGACTTTGCTAGTGCAAGGCTTCTGGCTCTTCTCCGCGTCCCTGCGATTTGGGGAAGGCGTTCACCGAGCGGCTAGCCACCGGGGAACCGCAGACGAGCCATGGGCGCCGGGAGCTCCACCGAGCAGCGGAGCCCGGAGCAGCCGGAGGCGGGGAGCGCGACGCCCGCCGAGCCCGAGCCCAGCGGCGGCGGCGGCGGCTCTGCGGCGGAGGCGGCGCCCGGCACGCCCGGGGACCCGGCCATCGCCCCTGCGGACCCCGCCACCAAGGTAGGCGCGCTCCGGGCCACCTGCCCGGAGGAGGAGGGGGGGCGGGACGGCGGGGGTCTTTGGGAGGGAGGGGAAGGGGGAGGTCTCCTCGATCTCCGCCTGCAGTAACTTCCCGGCCGGTCCAGCCCATCTGCAAACTCGCGAGCCTCAATCCCTCTTTCTAGGCTTTTTAGGGTTTTAGCGCCGGGGCGGGACCAAAGGATCCGCGAGCGCGGCCAGGGGGGCTTGCATCTTTGTCGTGGGTCTCCCGGGGAGGCGACTGCGCCATCCGCAGTAATAAAATTCGCCCGCTGCCCGCCGCTAACTGAGCCTTTCTCCACGCTCTTCCGGTGGAGCGACCCAGCCCGACACCGGCGAGCTGCCTGTGGTGGGGGTGGGGGTGGGGGGGTGTCTGCGGAGCCCTGACCCCCGGCCAGACGTGTCGAGCCCCCCACCCCGTCTCCCCATGCGGAAAGTCAGCTGTTGGGCCGTGACGCGTGTTGCAGCCTGGCGACTCCGCCACCCGTGGGTTCCCCGCAGCGCACTGTCCTTGCTACCGGCTCTGTCTGGAGCGACCGGGTTTGGTACCCAGTCTTCCTGCGGCAGGCGGCTGAAGCAGACAACACCGCCTTCCCGATGCAGAGAAAACCTGGGGTGTAGCTCACTCGCCGCCAAAGAAAACCTGAGCCGACGCGGCATTTCCAAAAGGAATGACAGGGTTCGCAAACACGGCGGCGTCCTCCTTTTCGCTCAGTTCGCTGGACTCAGTGGGATAAACAAATACCGGAGTAGTTAGAAGTTCTCAAAGGATGCAGTCGAAGGCGTGAGGGAGTAGTCCCTGTCTGTTCCGGTCTATGGAGGCAGTGTTGAGCGTCCTGGACATTTTGCATTTTATAGTCTTAGGTCTTCGAGGCTGCAATATTTATTCTTGGCAACTGCAGCCGCCAAGATTGTGACTTGTTCAGATCGTTGTTTTTTAGATCTGTTTTCCAGCATGTATGTTCATAAGTCAGGCTTCACCCCACTCGTTTTATGATACTTTTATGGGAAGATGTGGGTAACCATACTTAATACTTAAAAAGAAAAAAGAAACGTGTCAAATTTAAGAATATACAGAGTACTTCAGGACCTTTAAGAGCTATCTCAGGAAGTATAGATACTTATAGTGTAAGGGGGGAAAAAAAAAACCCCTGAAATCTAGGTAGAAATCACAGAATTATGACCTCATCGCCTTGACCTTTTAGCTGTGGTAGTCTAGCTTGGATGGAGAGACTGCTTTTAACTAGATTACCTCTAGTCATTAACATACCTCTTTGTAAAACCCATGGTCCCTAGAGCTGTAGATGCTTGCAAGTAGCTACTGTGCCTGGAATGCCTAGATTCTCTAAGATATGCTCAAGAAATCTATCCTTTTGAGGTCTCAGTTTTATGTATATATGTATTTATTTGGCTGCATCATATCTTAACTGCAACATGTGGGATCTAGTTCCCTGACCAGGGATCAAACCCAGGACCCCCCATTGGGAGCTCAGTGTCCAGACTTCACTGGACCACCAGGGAAGTGCCTCAGTTATGCTTTAGTATTCACTGTATCTCACTTTTTGCTGTCAACTACTGTCAAAATGGCTGCATAACCAGTATTTAGAGTCCAGTAATGAAAGTAATTTTAAGGCATAATTGCTAGAAGCTTGCAGTTGGGGAACATTTTTTTCTTTGGCTTTTACCAGCCCTTCAAGTCTTAGTAACAGTTCACACTAAGAAATGATACTTATTCTCTTCCCAATAAACTTCTGTGTATTCATTTAAAATATTGCTTCCTTTCTGTTCTCTTTATCTTCCTTCCATAACATCAATCCTTCTTCCTCTTTCCTAGTCACAACCATCTTGAAACAGTGAGATGACCTCCTTTAAAAAATTACTTAAATGACATCCTGAATATCATTGAACTTTCTGGCAGACTGCCCAGTTATCAATTTGGAGACAAATCAATACACTTACATGTACATGTTAGAAAACATGTAGTTTTTCATTGTGACTAGCAAAATTATTACTCAAGTTTTGAAGACCTAAGTCTTTTCAAAAGGACTCTCTAATTAAGAATGATTCAGCATGTAGCTTTTGTCTCCTTTCTTCACCCTGTTCAACCCTAATTTCGGACCTCTGAGTAATTTCATCTGCCATTCTGGATTCCCATAGCACCATGGAACCTTCTTGCCAGCAGTTTCCATGTCTGTGGGTTTAGTGACTTGATGAGTAAGTGTTCTGGCTGCTTCGAATGATCCACAAAGGCAGGGACCGTACCTGGGTTTGCTCATAACAGGTGATGCTCCTTGTATGGAGTGTGTGGCTGGCATGTAGGATGATCCTGGCACCTTGATTTTGATTGGAGACAGTCAAGTTGGGGAATATCTTGGTCCATCTGCTTTCTTTTTAAACTTTTAATTTTGTATTGGGGTATAACAGATAAACAACCATCTACTTTTTCTTTGACTTTATCATTATGATCTGTCTCACTTATCAGATAGTGACTCAGTCAACATCAGTTCTGGTTATTCTCAGACCAGGTGAATATCTAGCAGAAAACTAAGATTTGGGAACTCAGCTTTCTTTTTCTTTAGAATGGCTTGTTTACCATTGCATTTCAAAGTGCCTTTAATCTCAAGTAGACAAATGCATGATAAATGCAAGTGACTCAAATGAGACCACTTCATACATTGAATTAAGTGATGAATTACATCTTGAGCTTTTTTGATTGGGTCTGTGGACATCTGGGGAGGTTTAGACTAATATATCCCCCTCCCTCTAGCAGAATGCTGATCATTAATTAAAGGCAATTAGCAGATTTTTTCTCCCCCACTGGTAAAACTTGATTACCCAAGCCTAACATTCAGATGCACTGAGACAAATCCTGATTTTATCTGTGATGTATTTTAATGGAAATGAAAAGAGTCTTATCTTCCAGTCTATCTTTTACAATCTTTATATGTTAATTGTGAAGCAAAATAGCTTGATTTTCCAGGTTAAATTTTGAGAGTTTGCCATTTTGATCTCTGCAGGGGACAGGAAGATTAGATCACCTGAACACAGGTGGTAAACAAAGCCTAATGTTATTCATCAATTGCTGCTTTCTTTCAGGTAGCTAGCAGCACTGGGTGGGGTTAGCCAATGACGAACTTCCTGTTCTCTGACACATCTGGATTTCTGGAGCCAAGCTCCAGGCTAAATCTGGACAATCACAATCCTCTAAATTAACCTTTTTGTCTTTTCTGTTTAGTGACTTAGAGCTGGAAATGAAACAGTTCTCAGTTCAACAGTGTAAGGCCTACCTCTCTGGCAGGTGAGGAGACAGAGACCCTTGTCAGTGTTTCAAGCTGTGGTTCCCTTTGGCTGCAAAGGCTGTGACTCAAATAGATGTATGCAAATACAAGAATCTATTGTCCTGAGGAATAGAGTTAAGGACGTCGCTATCTTTTGTGCATTAAACAGACAATTGAATCAGCCAGTTGGATTTTCCTAATTTCCGTCCCAGCCTAGGGTATGTGCTCTGTCCCACTTTGGCTGTCATGTGATTATCTCATTGGGTTTTTTTTTGGCCAGAATTTAAGATTTCAAGAGAATTATATGTAAACAGAGTGATGTTTTCTGGGTGTGGCTGCCTGTGTTCGTATGAATTTCCCTCAGATCATAAGAGGTGCTACTTGCTGACTAGAACCCAGTCTGGAGATTGGAGTTGTGGCTGTGAGGATGGTCATTTAGGTCTGAGAGCCGGTGGGGGCTGCATTGCTGTCCCTTGAATCCATTATAGGCTTTTAGGCTCTTAGATGTGTCAGATCAGCAGAGATTTCCACTTGAAATACTTCCCTGGGCTAAGGACAGCCTTCAAATATGCATCCTCTCTGAATTCGCTGTGTATCCACTAATCTCTGTGCCAGGATCACTTTAGACTACATTAAAAGGATGATTCCAGTTTGGTATCTTATAGGATAATTGATAAAATGGAAAAAAAGTTATGTTTTAAAAGGCATTATGAAATGATTTCATTTTCTTTATCATTTTTAACACCTGTTCAGTGTTACAGAATACCAACGAAAGGAAAATCAGCTAAATAGCAATTCTTTAGGTTATAGTCATTCAAGAGGTGAGAAATTAGAACTTACAGCACTTAGCGATGTGAGAAAAATACATCGGTACTTTTAGCGCATGAAAACTATAAAACTAAATATCCTTGGAGCTAATTCTTAGTTCTCTCATACCTTAAAAAATTATAATTTAGGAGAAGTTTCATTTTAAAATAATTTAATAGAAAAATATGAAAAAAGCTGGGTTTGGGAGGGAGATGCATTATATCTTATGAATATGAAAGCTTATTTTCAATCAACTATTTTAAAATCTATAATTATAATTATTTGTCTTGTCTGTTTAGATTTTGGGCCATTTTCCTGCAAGTTAGTACCTTATTAAAGAATGTAAGAGTAGGGATTTATACCTGTGATCCTACCTGTTAGTACATCTAATAAAAGGATTAAGGTGAAGATATTAATCTGTAATAATTTCAGCTATATATAATTTCAGTTATATATATATTTATATTTCTTATTATGAACAATTAAGTTTATTTATTTAAATCTGACTGTAGGCCTGACAGCATCATTCTTGAATCATAAAGGGTTTATTAAAAGATGATCAAAAGCACTTGCTTACTCTTATTAAAATGATTTATTTATTTATTTGGCTACGCTATGCCTTAGTTGTGGCACTCGGAATCTTCCATCTTCATTTCAGAACAGAGGAACTTTTTTCTCCTAGCTGCCGCGTGCATACGCTTGTTAGTTTCGGCTTGTGGGTTCTAGTTCCCTGATCAGGGATTGAGCCGGTAACCTCTGCGTTGGGAGCCAAAGTCTTAGCTACTGGTTCACCAGGGAAGTCCCTAAAATGATTTTTATTTAAAGTCATTGCAAACAAGATTCATTTAATGTTTGTTTTTCTAAAAATGTTAATGGTTGAGAACTTATAATTTGTAG